CAACAGCCCCCCACCAAAGAAAAACCTGGAGCCAGCAGTGGCCACCAATGAGTTATGCATTTGCCCCGTCCTAGTCAACTGGCATTGATCATGAGTGGAAGAAGGAAGAAGCCCTGGCAAAATGGGATCAAAGCAAAAAATGAAAAGAAGTTCTTCAGGTGCTACATAGCTAGTGGGACTCAACAGTGCAAGACTTTTGTGGGGAACCAAGCCCCATAATTTACTCCAATCGCTAAAGTGGGGAAGAGATTCACAACCTGAAGGAGGGAAATGCTGTTAATGGAATGCATCATCCTCACGCAATGATTTATTTATTTTACCGGTAAGTGATAGCTGGGAATTCAGACTTCTTTCCCATATCAGGATATGTTTGGGTGAAAGAACTCATTGCTGAGTGGCGCTAAGGCTGACATGGATTCGGAATTCCATTCAACAGAATTCAGGCTGGATGGTTTTCACAGCTGTTCGAACTTTGTTATGTAGCATCCGCATCTGAAGTTACAAATTGCCAATGTTTATGTGCTTTCCCACATCGGAATCAGGACAAAGGTAACGGTCTCATGCTTCCATTTTTAATGTTCTGGAATGTTGAATTTTAAAGCTTCAGAACAGCAAACAGGAGCTTCAACTGATCCGTCTGATACAATGAAGCTGCTTTAATGGCCACAGTACAAACTGTAGTTTGCGCATAATAACTAGATGTAGCACCCTCACTTAGTGACTCGGAAAAGCTGCCCTGCACTACTTGATTGGCCTTAAATGCCCCATGCAGCAAAATAAAATGGCAAAATGGCTCTGAACTGACTCACATTGCCCTTAGCACAAGGCACTAGAGGGCTTTTGTCAGGGTTAAGCTCCCCTCCCCATTTCTGACTCATCTCCCTCCGCTGACATGTTCTGGACAGTATTAATGAACATAGGAGGGAGGGCAGGTAAGCATTGGAACAGCAGTGCTATTAGCTGCAGCAACAGATGTAATAAAGCTCGCACTGGGTACTCATGTGGACCTCCAGCACATGGGCAGAATTAAGCCTACCAGGCCTCCCTGTTTGGCCCGTAGTGCCATTTTGGTCTACTGATGCCCACTTGCCTTGCGTAGTATGGTAAAGTACCGGCTCGGCCAAAAGGGGTTTGGAGGCACTGCCAGTGAGCACAGGCCTTTGCAAAACCTAAGCTGACTGTGGAGTGTTGCAACTGTTGGGCTTTGCAGAGTGCTGTGCAAGGGGCTTCTCAAGACTGAACCATCAGCTGATCATCAGTGCTTGGTGGTCTGTGCCTTTGTCCTCGTGGCTTAATTTCAAATCTTGCCAGCAAAAAAAGGGGGGGCCACCTGACATCATTGTGATGTCCGATCCATTGTGATGTCCCACTCACCTGTCAAACCTGGCCCAGGGGAGGGGGGGAGATAACACACCACTTTTGCACCCTGCTATAGAATAGCGGCACTGGCTGTAATATCTTGGTGGCTGGCTCCTTATAGCAAGGCAATTGACTATTGTTGTGTTATCATTTTCTGCCAGGATGTTACAAAAAAAAACAACCAAAACCCTAGATAATTGCTAGTGACAAAAGCATGCTTTTGAGGCATCCTTTCCATGCATTAAAAACATTTCTTAGGGCAATATTAATCCAATCCTCGGCTGGGTTCCAGAAGTATGATATTCTGTCCCCGGTTAATAGATATGTGTGGGAATAGCCTCAGTGCAAAGGATTGTGCTGGCTGTTTTCAAACGTAAATCCAAATGCACACTCCAGAAATAGTAAAGATTCCACAAGGGGAAAATCCACAAAATGATGGGGCATTGATGCAAGGGAAACAGGGAGCCTTATTGTCACTTGACATATTTTTTAAAGGGCTTATCCAAGAGGTCCCAAGCCTGGATAGCAAATCAGGGCAGGCTAAGACTTTATTCCCACCCCATTCTCTTTTGCAAAAACATTTATTAGAACAAAATTCACAAGAAAAGTCATACATTTCTTAGGACCAACTAATGTGCAACTTATGATCTTTCAAATTATATTCCTCTTTCTGTGGAAAATAACTTTTTATATGGGAGGAAATGGATGTTTCTGAGTATCATGGCACTAAGCCCTTGTCTCCAGATGATAATGGAGGCCATTCCTGCAGACATCATTAAGCCAGGCCTTTTCAGTTTTCACAGGGGCATTATGGGACACAAAAGCAATGGAAGTGCCGTGTTAGCCCCATCTACAGAATACATTTAAAGCAGCACCACACCTTGTTAAACAGTCACAGCTTCCTCCAAAGAATCCTGGGAACTGGCGTTTGTCAAGGATGTTAAGAGATATTAGGAGACCCCAATTCTCATCACAGAGCTACAACTTCCATTGTACTTGAACAATTAACCCTCTTCCCAGGGAACTCTGGGAACTGTAGTTCTGTGAAGGGAATAGGGTTCTCCTAAGAATAGTGTTTGGAGGAAGGGAAATTAGAGATACTGTAGATAGATGATAGATAGATAGATTTCCTAGCACCTGTTTGTGATGAGAGATTCCCCCGCCCCTCTGTTTTTTGGTTCTGGACTCTTTCTTCACACATCCCTCTTTCAATGAAGCCTGTCACCCAATGTCAGCTTCTATTTCATTTCTTTTCCCACTTCCTTTGAATGTGTACATGAACAGATGCCTCGGCTCCATTCTCCACACTACCCTGCAAGAACAAAACTGCATGCAAGAGGTTTATACGCCCGACTTTTAAAAAGAAAATAATATGTAATTAAGTAGCAATAAGTTCCACATCAAAACTTATATTTGTTGAATAGGCTAGTTATCACTGCTTCTTTTTGGGCAAAACAACATCAGCTGAAAACTAGAATCCAGTAATAAATGCTGACAGGAGATCATGCTGGAAGATTGTGGCCCTTTGTTTCATTTTTATGCCAATGAATATGCCTCATTTTCCAATGTGTACAGCAACATAACAGATGTTCACAAAGCACAATTGTATATGCATCTACTCAGGAGTATGTGCCATTGACATGAATGAGCATTACTTGCTAGTAGGACATGAAGAGTTGGACACGACTAAACGACTAAACAACAACAAAGTCTGTGCAGGATTGCAGGCTTAATGTTTGGTTCTCTATCTAAAATGGGGGGAGGACCTTTCCCCTTCCAAATATTATTATTGTGATTGTGTACTCCAGACTAGAAGGATGGACAGAGGGCATCCAGGCCATCATAATCCATATTCCTTAATGTAGGTGTGGGTTCTGTCTAGCTATCAGGACTCTGCCTAGGCCACACTCCACTCCTGGCCACCTGCCCGCTCTGCAAACCATGACCCTTACTGGTCCTACTTCACCCTCCAAGTGGTTTTGCCTAAATGGAAGGCGTCTTGAACTCTGACCATATCCCCTTGCTTGCCTGGATGGAGGATAGGGAGGATAGCCTGGGAGAATGTAGAAACTAGCCTGCTTGTACAAAGGTAAATTCATATTAGTTGCTTCACCCACTTGGGCCTTGAGCCCTGGCCACCACTAGCTACCCAGAATCCGAAAAAGCTTCCCCTGTGCTAATGGGTCCCTCATTTTGCTTTGATTCAAGGAAGCCAGGAAAGCAAACTCCAGGTTTATATTCATGAATTTCATGAGCCTGCTCATTATTATCCAGATTGGGCAGTGCTGCTAACAAAGAGAAAGGGGAGGTTGTCCACACCAATAGGTCAAGGGATTTCAATGACAAACACACACACCCTAAAGAGTTGTTGTTTTTTTTAATTCTTGCTCCCATTCTGCCAGCTGTTCTCCCTTCCCTTAGGCAACATTAGAAGAGAGACACAGTAGAAAACCATTGTCAAAAAAGATAATTTAATGTGTTATTTCTTTTTTTTTCTTTTGCTCATTCATTTGCTTTTAAGACAGGAGATTAAACTTTTCAATACCATCACCCACACAAGTATTGCATTGCACAAGGGTGGATGAAAGAAATAAAGAAATAAAATATATATTTATAGAGTATAAATCAAAACAGTTATATCTGAATCCCCTACATACAAAGCAGCATAACGAACGGCCAATGCAGCGTCACAATAATTCTGTCCTGTTCTCCAGACGTTTAGTAAAAGCAATGATTGTACATAAAGAGAAATAAAGTGCTAAGGCCCATCCATTCTGCTTTGTGTATAAGTGGTTTCTGCCTTGGGTCCTTCATATGCACATAGTGGCCTGGTTGGTTTTAGATAGAACACAAATGGCTGCAGTACCCACTGATTAAAGAAGTTTGTTGGGTCAATGGACACCTTGTTTTTAACTGCTTCTGGAATCAACGGAGAGACTCTAACTCAATGGCAAGGCACCCGCTCTGTTCATCAGAAGTTGGAGATTGAGTCCTGACTTATTTTCAGCAATGGAATAGGCTTTCCGACAGCAAGACTGTAAGCCACCTGTGATCATGGAGAGCTGGGCTGGAAATTTATTGATCGTACTGGTGGCTCAACAATACGGGCTTGCATGTGGTGCAATTTTGTTTTATTTCTATGTAACAGATTGGCAAAAAAAATCAGGTACTGTGCTATCTCAGCACAGATTCTGAGGCAAGGCTGCTTAATGAAGGCTACATAGTCTCATAATTAAACAACAGAGGCAATTCTTAAAATCCTGGGATGTTATGCAGATAACTGCACAACAATGTTTCCATCAGTACTGGAACACCTTTTTCACCAGAGACAGTGAGGATTTAACTCCACATTAGAAGAAAATGTGATAAATGAATGGATTGGTTCATGGTGCTAATCAACCAGTTACTGCTTTCAGCCCTGCTCGTCTCATAGTGTAATCTGAACAACAGGATACACACAAAAAGATAGAACACATCAATCGCTGGAAGGGAAAAGCCATCTGCTTCCCTTCCACACTTCAATCAATGAAACGTAAGAGTTTGTTTAGAATGAAGCTTAAAGTGACCTGAAGAGTAGACCCCCAGGAAAGGCGTGGCAGGGGAATGAGGCGAAGGACCACGCCTTGGTACACTTGGCTTTGTCAATCGGGGTATAAAAGAAAGCCAGAGAAAGTGCTGTACTTATTGTTGTTGCCTCCGTGGGCTTTGCCTCCATCCAGTTTGACATACACCTCGTCCCCAGAGTCCAGGTGCAGCACCACACTGTTGCTGGCGTAGTCGTAATTCTGGTCTGCATCCTGAGCAATGGCACTCGCCCGCACCTGCAAAGCACATCATGCCAAAAGGGAAGATGGATTCAGCACCTTGCAGCTTCCGTGGTCTGCCCTCAAGCCTTCTCTACTATGCATTTCTCAACCCACCTCCCACCCCCGCCCACGCTCTCCTCACACACTCCCTTCCCCTCTCATTCAAGCATCATTCCCAATGCTCAAGATCAACAGCTGGACCAATATTTCTATCTGCAAAATGCCTCGTGTATGATTCGTTATGGAAAGGTAGGCTCAGATGCCAAAATAAGTTCAAATAATTTTCTCTCCCCTTCATGCCAAATGCACCCCTTCCTGCTATCTTACTACAATTCCAACAATCTTCACCTTCTCTTCAATGTGCCATACAAAAATGAGTCCTAAAAGTGGGATTTGAAGCAAATGTGAGCATTCCGTCCTCCATTGGCAAAGCTCCTAGGGGAATGTCAAAGGGGTGCCCATAAGACAGTTTCAATAACACTGAAAGCTGCATACATCCCATCAAAGCAAATTTGGAAATACCTCCTCAGGTAAAACATCAAGGCAGGTTTAAGGAAATTCACAGCAGTGCCCAGGACCAGTGAAATTTCTCAGGGGAGAAGGGCCACACCTACTTATTACCACCCCTTCATATGAACCCTATTCTGACCCTCCCCATTTGCCCTTCACAGTGAAGATATCATCTTTCCTACCCTCTCTTCCCTTATACTGTCTCTTATCTGTACTTTCCAACCGTATCCCTTACTTTTTCCTTTCCCTCCATTGTTGTATACAATGAGAACATTGAATGTGACAGTAAAAGACATATAGTTTAACCTCCTTGACTAGAAATATTCTTTTCGCTCGAATCCTCACAGACAGATGCCCATTCAGCCTGTCTCTTAAAACTTCCATTGATGGAGGTTCCTTGGGCACTTTATTCCACTGCCAAACATCTCCATGCTGTGGTCGCCACAGTAGAGCGCGCGCTCTCTCTCTCTCTCTCATCCCATATCCATAAAGCCTTTCATGGTTTCCTCCTCTTCACCCTCTCCTTTGCCTTCTCTTCTATACACTTTTGCTTTCCTCACTTTCTGTCATTTCAATTTAGGCCCCAACTGCACAATATAGTTTAAACCCAATCATATCACTTTAAACAGTCATGGCTTTCCCTAGTTTGTTAAGGACGTTGAAAGTTGTTAGGAGACCTCTATCCCCCTCACAAAGCCACAATTCCCAGAGTTCCCTGGAAAGAGGGGTTGGGTCTCATAACAACTCTCAGGACCCTTAACAAATGACAGTGCCTAGGATTCCTCGGGCGCAGCCATTACTACTTAAAGTCGTACAATATTCATTATGTGTTATTTGTTTTGAAGATATATACCCCCACCCTTTTGTAAAATGAGCCTCAAGGGGATGATGATAATAATAATAATAATAATAATAATAATAATAATAATAATAATACTGTGCCCATTCAACTGGGTTGCCCCATCTCAAAATATACATCTCTTCACATTTCTTTACATGTACACACACACACACAGAGAGAGAGAGAGAGAGAGAGAGAGAGGTGCAATACAATATAATAATATAATCCTCTGACAGATGAATGGACCAGTGGTGAAGTCCCAGGACAGCTCAATGGCATTCTCCTTCCTTGGCCTGAATATTTAAAGTTCTTTTGCAATAACCCAGGAAGGTTTCTTTTAATGTAGTGCTGATAAGGTGAAGTCACTGTATTGATCTCTTTTGCCATAGTTATAAACCAGGCTTACAAATGCTCAAACATGTATCAGAGCACATCGATATGTTGCATTGCCACCGCTATGTGAATTAGTGGCCATTTCCCTTTCTTCGTGGCCTCTCCTTTGCGTTCCCCTCCTTTCTTTAAATCCTCACAGGCTCCTCTTCCTCTTGTGTTTCACTTCCGCAAGTTTCATCCCTCTCCCCACCTTTTTGCACCTCACACTTGCTCAGGGGTGCAGTCCATTCTGTGGCAACAAAGGAAAACTTTCTTTCCTTGGTGTAATTTATCTCCCTGCCCAAGTGACTACTCAGCAAAGCTTCCACCCTTGAATGCCCATCCTTCTGCGGGCACTAGCCTTACTCAAATAGCTGCTGCTTTCCAAATGAGATATCATATTTCCTACTAAGTGAAAAGTGTCTAATGCAGAAAGGTTCTATGGTGTGGTCTGGAGGCATAAGAGGCTGGAGCTAACCAGGCCTGAGTCTGGTCAGGGTGACCATCTGGAAACTACTTGTACACTGCTTTGCGTTCCATAACAGGAGACAGATGGGGTATAAATGTAGTAAGAAATCGGCAGGGGATATTATGGGAGTGAGGAATTCCTGGGTAGAAATGTTACACCCATACGAATGCAGAGGTGGCAATGTTCCCCTAGGCCTGCCTCTCTACAGGAGTTGGTCACATCTATGAAGTCTTCCGATTTCCTTCCTACTAATTCCTATCCATGAGATCGTGGACAGAAGAAACTGCAGATGGGAGCAAGTGAGAAATGTTAATATTCTGAGAACGGAATCCACATTGGTTTTAGCATGGCCGTGTAGTCGCTCAATGATCCTGAAGGGCTCAAGAGAGCTGTCCATGGTTCTGGAGAAAAGGAGTGTGTAAATCAAAAGTGAGTTGAGGCCAGAGGCTGATGGCCACCACAGAGTTGGGCCATCCTGCAAAACCATTGAGCAGGAAGGAATGTCCACTTCTTTTCTATCCCCACATATAGAAAGGACTTGCAAGTGTAAACAGTGGTGCAGGCAATTTTAGACCCTGCTTTTCATAGTCTCACACCGTCTCTTTAAGACGTCAGGAATAACATGGGGTTTACTTCTGCAGCCTTGATAGCAAACACATTTCCTTGGGAATATGCCCAGCTACCCACCCAATGACTACAAAATGCTTTTGAAACTTAAAAGCAAATAAAGGTTGCTGTGATGAACAGTGTCTGGCCCAGTGGGTCCTGGCATGCCCAAGCCAATGCAAGTCCTGATGCAGAGCATGTTAGACTCTTCATCCATCATCTGCCATTCTGTGGGTGGTCACTAGGAAGTCCCTTGCACTATGGGATCCTTGGCTTCAACCCCAAGGTCCAACCCTAGCTGCACCCACCAGGTGTAAGTAACGAGTGAACATTTTTGTGGTAGTTCTTGGATCATGCAAGCACATCCTCCTCTCTTTTGCTCAGTTTTGGCAGATGGGCCAACATTTCCTGTCCACAGAGGAAGAGGAGCCATAGAACTAGGATGCTTCTAGGAATAGAAGCCTCCATAGTATTACGTGGCAAAGACAGCCAGGAAGCACCAGAGATATCAGAACTTAGGCTCTTCAGGCTGAGCATGGGTTGGGAGAAGATGCCAAAGGGGAAAGCATAGAGCACAGAATTCTCCACAGAAATGAGTCACTGGGGAGTCAAGATGCTGACTTTGCCTCCAGGGGGACCCCAGGCTTCTTGCTGAAGATCCTAGGTAATGGGTGTCTGTTTTTATTACAAAAGAAACTGCATAGTGACACTGGGATTGTCCCCCTTTCAAATTGTGGCAGATCTTGGAGTAAGATTCCTAGTTGAAGGGTTCCTCTCACTTCTAGATGGATAATGCCTCCTCAACTCCATCTCAAAATCTGGGTCCTAGGCCAAGGGATTCAGATTGGAGATCTCAGTGTGTCCAGCACAAAGCTTTAGCAAGCTTTGACTGACAGGATCTACCAGGCCTCCATTAAAAAATAATTTGGGCCCCTAGACTGAAGGTCCTAGCTTGAGCTCTCATTCCCTGCCCCTCCAACCCTATATATGGGAGGGTCAAATTTACAATCTTAGGATCTCTTTCTGAGTGCAGAGGAGAGGATTTTGAAGCTGATATTCTCCTTCTAAGCATGCCTCCACTGTCTAACAGTGGTGGTGGCAACTGTGGGTGGGGGCCATAGCTCAGGAGCAGAGCATCTGGTTTGCCTGCAGAAGCAGCAGCAGACAGCAAAGTGGGGCAGCAGAGCTCACCTGACTTCCAGTCAGTCACATTGCTGCCACTTACCAGGAATTAGAGGGGAGGGGGAAGTAGGCACAATGCAAACACACCAGCAGAAGTGCCTGGTTAGCTCTCCACCCATCTGCCACCTCTCTCCTCCCTTTCTACCTTCATGTAAGCAGCAGCAACATGATCAACCAGAGGCCAGGTTAATGCCCCGCATGGGGTAGGATTGCAAGTTACACTTTCTACCAACGCTCCAGTTAAGAGCCCAGTTTAGAAATCCATGAGCCTCACTAATTCCAACTCTTCCCCATTCTTGCCAAATCATCCCCCATGCTTTTCTGAAAACAGGTAAGTGGACCGTGCAATGGGGAAGTGCCCCCTCTGCCTTCATCCCATGTACTTCAAGAACTACCCCCAAATGGAGGTGCTCTCCAAAATTCTGAGTGGTCCTCATCATGGCTGTAATGACTTAGAACTACTTATAAAATGGGTTGCTACCGCCGTGTTGTGAGTCTCCACACCATCACTAGTGGCCAGGAACCAGGAGAAGAGGCATGGAGACTCACAGCATAGAGAGGACAACCCATGGAGTAGGTACTTCTAGATCAAGAATGGGAAACCTGTCTCCTTCCAGATCTTGCTGGACTACGACTCTCGGCACCCCGACCATTAACTATGCTGGCTGTGAGTGATGGGTGCGGGAGTTAAAGAGCATCAGGAGGGTCCAGGTTCCCCATCCCTGCTCTAGATGTCACAGCCAGAATGGGGATTACACATCATGCTGAGGGTGGGGCACTTTCAGCAGCCTCCTCACAGCAAGTGTAACTCGTGCTCCATCCCTTGCTGACTCTGAGCTGAATGTGTGAACTGCTTCCGTGAAAAAGGACTGGGTGATATTCAACTAGGATTAGTGCTACTATAAAATGACCTTCCTCCCTCTCTTCCCCTCACAAGTACCCTGCTCTGTCCCCAAATCTACTCTCTGCAGGGTTAGGGGGAAGCCCAGAATAGATTTACGGGAGAATAGAGGAGAGAGGAGAAAGTTCCCTCGCAAGTTCTCTTCAGCACTACTTTGAATGCATACCATTATGTTTGGGGTGACACCAGATGCTTGTTCTTGACCATTTCATACATGCTGAATCAATAAGCATGGATTGGCTTGAAGTCTCTTGGATCTTTGAAACATGGTGAGCATAACTACCACAAGATCCAAAACTGTTTCTCCTTGCTGTGACAAGTCATGCTCCCTTAGCTGTGCAACCTTGATCATGCAACTGGAGGAGAGGACATGCCACAGTTTCCATGATGCAGCAAAGACAACAGCCTGAGAAGCTCCCATATTCATACATACAATCAGGGGGTATGTCTCTACTTCACATGCGGCCATTCAAATCTGTCTGATCTCCACATGTTAGCCTATCTATCTCCTTTTGGGTGGAGGTCCCCAGGCTGTGAGGCCTCTCTTTGAAGTAAGATTTCACAGATGGTGGCCCTGACATGCATGATGCAAGACACACACACCCCTCAGATGATTGGAAGTTCAGAATGGTGAGAGTAGAAAGCCTGTATGCCAATCTCCAAGGATGAAATCTTAAGCAGGAGGAAGGGCAAGGAAGGGGATCAAGAGTCTCCATGTGGGTTGACGTCCTGTACTCAGCTCTCATTTGAACAGATGGCCGTCCATGTCCCCATCACAATGAAGCCTGAGTGCTAAAGATCTCATGCAAACTTTCTCTTAGATGACTCCCTGCAGGTTTAACTGTATTGCATAACAATGCCTGTAACCAAAACCCAACACACATATCTCCTTTTCTCCCCTCAGGAAGACATTGAAGAAGATAATTTGGAGTGAAGATGGTGTGGGAAAGAAGACCCTTAAGTATTCTTCTGCCCTCAACTTGTCTATACCAAATGCCCTCCCCTTGTGCAAATACCCATATACATATTTCTGTGCATTTGTGGAGCTTCCCATTAGTAAAGATTTGACAGGAAGTTCTCTTGGGGGGGGGGAGGTTCCATTTAGAGATGTCTTGAGGTCATTGACACCTGCTCAGGTGTCAAAATCTCTTGGTCTCAAGGAGGAAGTTGGTGAATTCTTGGGAATTCTCAGTGCCATCAGGGCAGGACTTTGGGGTAGAGGACCAGGGCTGCTCTCAGCAGGAGTAAGAGGGTCTCCAAAGGCAGCAGGACTGACTTCTTACCACATTTTGAGGTAAGTGAAAACAACACACATTACCATCTAAAAAGACTTCACCCCGTCTTAAATTACTTAGTTGCACCACTGGGGCACTCTGGGTGCGTGCGATAAGATTATTTTATAATTGAAATACCCACCCACCAGAATAGTCCCCTAATCGGCAGTTGACTTCAAGCGGCACAGTCATCGAGATACCTTGATCTTGAAACTCCGTTTGTCAAATCCTTTAATTTAGGAGCCTCGTCGAAGTGAGGTTTTAGGGTGGGGGGGAGTTTCCTTACTAAAATCGGGAGCCCCCTTTCCGGCTGGGATATCTGGAGGGCTTGTTAACACATCGCTTGATCTCGACACTGACTGGACCGCGCGAGAGAGATGTATTTTGAGTTTAGATCGGATCATAGGAAAGTTCTCTCGCTCGCCCCGTCGTTCGATCTGTGAGGCTACGGCCATCAGTCCAAGAGCCAACCGGGCCGTTACACATCTGGACTAGCCCCAAATATCCCCTTGTCCCCAAGTTCAGCGTTCCCTTTAGCTGACACCTCCGGAGAAGCTATCCCCCACCCCACCCATCCATGCCTCCAAGCTAACTAGGTGGCGTCTGAGACTGTCCCCGGAGGAAGGATTCCCATCCCCTCAACACGCACATACAGAGGCGAAGACAGGGTCCCCCGACCCGCTGTTCCCCGCTGGCCCGTGCCCAGCACCCACCTGCCCGTTCTTGCAGAGGTCCGCCCACATGCTGGTGCCGTCGCCTCCGCGCATGAGGATGTGGTAGGTGAAGAAGTAGATGCCGCGCACCTGGCAGGTGAACTTGCCCGTGGTGGGGTCGTAGTGGTTGCCCAGGTTGGTTACCACGTCGTCGAACTTGAGCACCTCGTAGCCCTCGTGGGGACTCTTCAGGCCCACGTAGAAGGCGATCTTGGGGCCGCTGAAAGCAGCGCTCAGCGCTCCCGTCACCTCGCTTCCGGGCGCCGGGCTGCTGCTACTGCCGCCCATGCCCGAGCCCACACCTCCAGCCGTCGTCGCAGTTCCGGGGGCCCCGATGCCGGGCACCGACAGCCCCGGTAGTCCCGGCTTCCCCGAATCGCCCCTCTCGCCTGGGGGTCCTCTAGGGCCCGGGGGACCCGGTTCCCCGGGGGGGCCCCTCGGCCCCGGCTTGCCTGGACGGCCGGGGTCGCCCTTGGGTCCCTGGATGAAGGGCGGCGGTGGCGGCGGCGGATTGGCGCTCAGCTCTTGCATGGCTTCGAGGGCGGCCGTGGTGCCTCCGGGGCGGCTGGACGGTCCGGCGGCAGCGCTACTGGCGCTGTAGGGGTCGCAGATCATGCGGCAGGTGCCCATCATCTCGTAGTGCGCCTGGCCCTTGGACGGCGCCTGCACCAGGATGGGGACGGCGATGAGCAGGATGAGGCCCATGGCCAGGGCGATCCCCACGGCGGCCACCAGCCGCTTCCTCCTCTGCCAGAGCCGGGCAGCGAGCGCCAACAGGTCTTCCTTGCTGGGCGAAGTAATGGTGACTTCTCTCGACGGCGAGCCTGCCTGCCGGGGTGGGGGGAGAGAAGAAGCAGGAGAAAGACGAGTCAGTCGCGGCCAACCAACCCCCAGCCCGGGGCGAGCGAGAGGCCACCTCCTGTCCCGATCAGCCCGTCAGGGTGGCACCCTCCCGGGGGCACCCTCCGCCTCTACCGATGCCCTTCATGGTGGCATCACTGAGATGCGAAGACAGGAGGGAAGCAGGACAAGGAGGAGGAGGAGGAGGAGGAGGAGTAAGAGACGCCGCCGCTTATCCCTCTGGAGGAGGAGGGAGACCCCGGACTAGACTAGACTGACGTAGAGGAGACCTCTTCTTCCCTCCGCCCCCCCCAATCTACAGCGCCCCTTCCCTTTCCCCTATCATGATCACATCATCACAATCCAGCCAGCCCCCTCCGCACCCCTCGCCCCTTCCCTCGGGGGTTTACAGACCGTTCGCACAAACACACGCGCGCACTCACTAGCGCGCTCCCTCGAACATCCTCTGCTGCCCTCGAGCAGGCGGGACGCGGGCGCAGCAGCTCTCAGCTGGCGTCGCGCAAACAGGTGGACGAGCGAGCGCCCCCGATGTGTTGAGCATCCTCCCTCCCTCTCCCCCCCACTTCACCAAGCGTCCAGGACATCGTCCCTCTTCCTCCTTCTCCTCCCTGCTCCCCTCCTGCTTAGCAAAGAGTCAGAGGATTTGGTACCCCCCCCCCCGTTTCTTTCTACCAAGGAAGTTCCCGTTTTCCAAAACTGCAAATACCGGCAGAGGGGAAAGCTCCCTCCAATCCCCCCTGACGGATGAGCAAGCAAGAGACGCGCGGTCTGTCCAGGGAGAGACACTCACCGCCAGAGTCCTCCTTTACCTCGCGCGAACTGTTGGGGAGAGGGAGGGAGAGAGGGAGAGGGAGAGAGATCACATCTGGCCAGCTGCGTGGTGGGGGGAGGGGGAGAGAAGGCAAGGTCCTTGCCAAGGGGCCACACCGACCACCACCAGGCGACCAAGTTTTTCGGAGAACAGCCCGGGAAGAGAAAGAAGAAGAAGAGGAAGAGGAAGAGAGCCTGCTGCGACGAAATTGCAAACCTGGCGAATTTCCCCTCCTCCTAGACGTGACCCCTAAGTTGAACAGGAGATATGGGCTGCATGGCTTTTTTTGCTCCCGCGCCCCTTCTTACTGGAGTCAGTATCAGTACAGTACTCGCAGACCTTTTTTAAAAAAAAATCTATTGCCTCTTATTTTCTGCCCTTCTCTCCCCCCCCACCCAAAAAAATGGCTATCGCGACTCTGCCTCTTTGCTTTTTTTTCTTCTGCTTTTCTGCGTGCTTTTCTGTGTCCTGCTGATTATTATGACTTGCTTGCCCGATGCCTCCGCGAATGGAACGGATGGAGGAAGGGCGCGACTTGATGCGCGAGGGGACCCTGCCATTGGAGCAGGGCAATGCCGTTATTTGAAGCGACTAAAATGGCACAAAGCAGTGAGCAAGCTTTTGAGTGCTGCAGAGCTCTTCTTCAAGCTGGAGGGCAGGAAAGAGGAGAGGGGTGGAAAGAGAGCTTGAGCTGCAGTTTGCCAGAGTCTTAGGATGGAGAGCTGTAAGTCTTTACAGAGTATGTCTACGTAGAACGAAATCCAATGGGACTCCTTACAACCCCCCCCCCCACACACACTTAACTCAGGCTACATTCCAATGGATTCCCTTACCTCTGAGCAGACAGGCATTAGGATTGCTCTGCAAAGTAGATCAGTCTCTGCTGGGAGCAAAACTTGCACTGACTTCCAGGTAAACAACCATGAGATCCAGCCACTTGTGCAGTTCCTTGTTAGGCATCTTTCTCCACACTCAGCTTCAACAGCTAACAGCCAGAGCCTATGCATGTTGACGTTCATTCTGTTGCACACTTAATGGGGTAAATTCTCAAGTAAGTGTCCATGGCAGCCCCACAGGTCCCGGGACACCTTGAAGAGGGACCCATTTATTGCAGCATGAGTGTTTCTAACTCAAAGCTGGGATGCACGAGAAGTGTGGGATTCTTTGGGAATTTGGTCTCTGGGTAGCAGGAGAAAAGACATGGCTAGGAATATTTACTTATGAAGGAGCCTGCCTGAGAATGTGGAATTAGCAAGACAATATTCTGTTCCTACCAACTCTATTGGTGTTTTTTGCTGTGACTTCCCCACCACCACCAAATCACACCCCATATGTGATTGAAATGTATCCTGTGAACCAGCAGTGTGCAGGTTCATACGTCAACAACTTTCCACAGCTGCAGCCATTCCAAGAAGAATGTGGGTGCCCTTGCAGAAACTGCTACCAAGTGTGTATCTCACCACAGGGCTGGTTCACCCTTAAATGAGCATCCCTCAGTTTTTCTGCACATGCTCACTTGGTGGCTGGCAAAGTGAAAGAATGATCTGGAGCTAAAGATCTGTGGTGCTTCATTTATATTTGCTAGTCATTCCTGGGTGAAAAATGCAGATGTGAAACAGCCCAGTAGTAGCTGGCACAAACTAACACATGTGCACATGTGCACACAGATGACCGTGGAAGCCAAAAGGTTTGGCAACAATTACACTCACAACAGTCCTATTTTAAAGGCTCCTCCCTTGTATTTGTCCTTCTGCCTAGACGGACAGTGGTCCTGGGTCTTCCTTACTGCCACAGTTTATGGTCTGCAATGTAATGTGTCCAGAAACTAGCGAATTAAAGTGTTCTGCAGATTTGCATCTCTTCAGGAAGAATTTAACCTTGTTCCCAGCCTCAAAAGCAGCAAGGCATGCTGGCTATATTGTGACTTAACAGAGTGATGAGAAGCAATTTGGTTAGCAAACTCACTTCCGTCATCCCTGCTCATATCAAACATTTGACGGGGTTCAAGTGTTCTTTTCATGAAGTTGCTCGCTGTTCAGCCAGGCTGAACACAAATACTGTATCTGTCAGTGCTGCAAATAAGAGAGAGGGAAGAGAACTACGGTCCCGATCATTTCTTCAGCATTTTTTAAATTTGACAAATGCTTTATAACCGTGCCCTCACAGCAACCTTGTGAGGTCATTGCCTGCTCTGGCCGAAAGGAAAAAGACCACAGAAGTCATTAAGCAGCAATCCTCAGAGCTATGGTGGTGTGAGGGATTTACACCCCACCCAGCTCAGATACACAGCTACAAGCTACTACTCCTATGAGGGAGCACTAAGGCTGCATTCCATCAGGCAATTTCAGGTAACAGTTTTTGTTGGATTTTCTTTCTTTCTTTCTTTTTCTACTTTTTGTCTTGCTTTGGGTCTTTCCATTGTTAACATTAAGCTTTGTTTCAATAGAATTTTACTGGTTGTCTTCAAATTTGGTTTTCTGCATCCTTAGAAAAGGAAAGCTGTGCAGAAATGCTGGAAACAGATGAGAGTGCAATGTCATTTCTCTTCTCCAGGATGTTCCAAGAGTGTAAAGGCACCTACCTGGGTTCAACTTTCCTTTGGAAGGAGACTGATGGAGGTTTGTAGGCATTTTGTAGCATTTGCTGGTGCTTTTCAAATATACAGGCTGGACATAAGTGGAGTTTTCGCAACCTAAAGCAGGAGTGGCAATTTTATTTTATTTATTTTTTGTATGGGGGGCTTTATTCCCTTGGAACAAACACTTAAACTTCCCCTGTGTACACACTCCTGTTTACTCTGCACCCAATGCGCTCCCACTGCTGATTTAGGAAACAGTGTACAGTGGTACCTCGGGTTATAGACGCTTCAGGTTACAGACGCTTCAGGTTACAGACTCCGCTAACCCAGAAATAGTACCTCGGGTTAAGAACTTTGCTTCAGGATGAGAACAGAAATTGTGCGGCGACGGCAGAAGGCCCCATTAGCTAAAATGGTACCTCAGGTTAAGAACAGTTTCAGGATAAGAACGGACCTCCAGAATGAATGAAGTTCTTAACCCGAGGTACCACTGTACACACATTAGCTAAGGTCCGGATCAATCATCGATCTTGTCATTTCTTAGGAAATAGTGTGTTTGATCCATTGCCCCCCCCAACCAGTTTTGAATGGGGGCGGGACAACCTAGCATTGATTTTAATCCAGTAATGTTTACACACTGTTCCTTTCCAACTTTCTTCCATCATGGATCCCAAGGTAGCATAAACCTGGCTGCCAAGCTTTAGCAACATGGTAGCCACGCATGCCTTCAGACTATACCCTAGGATTTCTAATAAGCATTTGTTGTTTAATAATTATTCCAAGCGTTTTGACTCTTCCGTGTTTCTGTTCTGTATTAAATTCCACCATTTTGAAATGTTCTTTCTATCATTCTGGGTCACAAATAAACAGAAATGGGGGACCACTGACAAACTTTCCAGGCTTCCAATGACCCACCTTTTGGGAATCGCTACAATATATTTGATTGATTGACAATTGATTCACAGGATGCAGTAGCAGTGGGGAAGAGGATTATTAATTATGATTATCAGGGCACATTTCAGTTTGCCTCCATTTTTGTGCTGAAAAGAAATCAATTCACTAATCACTTTGATTTCTTTTTCCCAGCACCGCTAAATAAAGGCTGATACATCATCAACAGAGGAGAGCAAAAGCTTGCAGATCTGGATATGTTTAGGGTTTGATGTAAAGTGCACTAAAATCAATATTTAGTTCAAGAAACACATAAATGGGACAGATATGCCCTGGAGAATATACATCACCTATGTGGTTTTTTTTCTACCTGTATCCCCTCCTCCACTGCCCATACTTTCTACCTCCTTTCTTTATTCTTTGCCTTCAGAACACATTTTGCAAAAAGCAGATTGATCCTAAACTGTGGATCAAAACACACCATAGCTGTCTACTTTTCCCTTTTCTTGCGAGGAATCCTATTCGGAATAAGGGAATTTCCCTTTAAAAAGGGGAAACGTTGAC